ACCTTTCAAAGTCGAAAATGATGACGATCGGCTTATAATTACCCCACAGGAGAAAGCAAATGCGATCGGCGAGCATGTCTCGTCATCGCATTTGCTTGGCTCGACTATCCAAAGTCCGCTCGATGATCAGTTTGCGCAATTCGTTAAAAACCTAGATACCTCCCCTTGTGTCGTGCCTCCGGCGGATATGATTACAGTACAACAGATTTTCTCACCGCTGAAATGCACCAAGAACATGAAGGCTCCCGGGTTTGACGGTTTATTCAACTTGATCTTGAAGAGACTCAGCATGAAAGTGCAGTCTCTTCTAACCACTATCTTCAACAGATGTTTGGAACTGCACTACTTTCCAAGCATCTGGAAAGTAGCAAAAATCATACCGATCCGCAAACCCGGTAAGGATCCAACATTGTCTTCAAGCTACAGACCAATCAGCCTCCTTTCAGCGCTGAGCAAATTGTTCGAGAAACTCATTCTCAATCGTTTGCTCAAGTTTGTCGAGGAAAATAACATTCTCCTTCCGGAACAGTTTGGGTTCAGAAAGGGGCACTCCACCAATCACCAGCTAGTACGGGTGATGAATAACATCCGAAGTAACAAAACTGTATCCAAGTCCACAGCCATGGCCTTGTTAGACGTTGAGAAAGCGTTTGATAATGTCTGGCACAATGGGCTTGTATACAAGCTTTGTAACTTCAACTTTCCATTACATCTGGTTAAAATCACCCGTACTAGCTGGAACAAAATTCAGGTCGCTCAGAATAGAGTGCTGAGGATGGTACTTGATCGTCCTTTCGACACTAGAATAACAAATTTACACGAAGAGACAGGCATTGCCAAAATAGATTCCAGAATTAACGAAATTAAGACTAAATTTGCACAAAAATGTAATTTATCAGAACATGCTTTAATAAGCAATTTGTTTATAGTAGATTAGGTGTCTATAGTAGTTATAGGTTAGTTATAGTTGTAAATAGTAGTTATAAGTAGTCTCCTTTTTCAAATTTAAAACAAACCAATCCCACCAAGGTGGTCATTCTTAAAACAGGCCTGATAGGACTAGGAACTGTAATTAATAATAATTGAAATTTCAAAGGAACTAAAGTTGAAAAGACGCATCTGTGTCACTTGATAAGTAATACATGTAAACCATACAAACACAAGAAATAAAGATCATTTAAAGTAAAAAAAGCTGATTCAGTCGTCCATTGACAGATGTACGTTTGGGGCATTTTGCCTTCACGTGGTCTGTGCCGCCACACACAAAGCATTTGCTAGACATTCCGTCATAGAACACTTTCGCTTGAAAGTGTTGAATGTAGATCTGAGATGGGATCTCGCTTTCCATTTCAATATCGATGCCACGCACTCCATTCATGATGGGGTAGCCCGTGTCTGCTCCATACCGTTCGCGTACCATGTGCTGAATCTTCCCGTATTTAGACATGGCCGTTGCCACGTGCTTGTCTTCCACTTCAATAGGAAGCCCAAAAACTCTCACGTACCTGAAGTTACCTCGTGGTGCAGCGAACGTAACTTTTGTTTCCTGGTGACCTTCATACACGAACGTAGCTTCGGGTGGGCATTTCAACAGTTCAGTTTTCATCATTTCCTCTGTACGAAACATAACATACACAGCGTATTCCTTTGGTTCCCTGAACATTGCACTTAACATTTCACATGTCCAGCTCCGTGTCCGGAAGAATCCGAAGATCTCACGATCAGTTGACATCTTTGTTTTCGGCCCGAAAATGACCTTCAGGCAGCTTGCATGAATCTTTTTCGTTTCCATTGCTTATTGTTCCGTTACAGTTCCAGAGTCCAGCGCTAACAATAGCGAAACAGAAGTCTATTGTTAGGAACTAGGGTTTTGTTTCAAATTCAATATTTGCTCGATAACTGCAGCACACTTTCAATCCTACGTCTGTACCGAACCACGTTCAAACACTAACTGACTGAAGCTTGGAAGACCCCTTCACCATCCTCAACAACAGGGCCAGAACGACTATGATGACAGGAGCCAGCAAGCTCGACTGAGTTGAGGGGATCAAGGGCTTCCATGATGCGACAGACAGTGCGTTCTGGTGTTTCATGTTTTACGGTGAAATGATCAGTACTTGATACCACTGATTCGGTAGGTAGAGTGATGTCAATGAGGGGTTGGGGAGAATCGTTTTCGTCATAACAAGTTTTGGCATCACCAGTACTACAAATTACTGAGCTGGAACATTGGAACACATCATGCGTACTTGCCTGAGCATAGCAGTTGGGAGACCCATCCACCAACTATGACCACATGTACAGAAAGGCTACGATGGCAGGAGCTAAGAAACACGACTGGGTCGGGAGGATCAGGTACTTCCCTAATGTGGCAGGCAGTGAGTTCTGGTCTGGATGTACATTATAAGCAGATGTCCCCGAACCTTCCACAGGCTGATGATTTGTCTCTCGTTTTTTGCAGTGTTCTCAAACACCCGAAACAACATTTTTCGATTCGAACCAAGATCATTTACCCTAAATAGAATCTGTATTCCTAAAATCTAAATCGGTAAACAGGAATTCATAAACAACTTAAACCACACTGAGTTTAAAATTCCACCCAAGTTCAGATGGCATCTGTGTTTGAATTCCTAATTTTCCATCGCTCGGAAATCATCTAGTGAAAAAAGCTTTTCTCTTCCTCCTCTCCGAGAGCGATTCGAAGATCATCGCCATCTGGCCCTGACTTACTAGAACCTTCCTCTAATGCAAATTTTCTTCCTGGTCCTGCAAATCGAATGCCTTTATTTACGATAATATAGAGCGAAAGCATTCAATTCCGTTCCCGGGCTGGGGGGAAACCAGGACAAAATCTATAACCATCGACAAGATATAAAACACGCTGAAAGAAAACAAATCCCACTTCCCGCGCTTTCGCTGCTGCTGCTGCTGCTTTCGTTTCACGGGAGTGGGAGTGGGAGATTTTTGTTGAAATCGAACCTGGAAGTCACGGCGATTGCCGGAAACCATGGCCGGGCAATGTGGTGGCGAAGCTGAAGTTTATTGTGGTCTACTGGTAGCCACTTTTGGATGAAATTGAAATTTATCTCGAGTCCTTTGAGCTGACGCAGAGAGTCTTGGGTAGGGCGAACGTTACCCGGAACATCGTAATAATAAATGGTGGAGAACGGACGATGGAGAGCATGCCAGACAAAAAAGAAAACATTGCGGCCACAAAATAAGCGCAAATGCAAATATGATGGAAAAGCAATACCGAACGACGACGACGGCGTTGCTGTCGTCTGCTTGAAAGCTTTATGTAGGATATTGAAAGTGTAGGGTGGTGGGGTTTGGCAGTCGATTGTGTGGGCAGGAGCCGGCGAGTGGGGATAAGCTGTGGAGATATTGGTGGAGTGTTTTTCCTGTGTTTTCAGCTTTATGGCCGATGATGAACCGTTTTGTTTGGTTTGCCTCGGGATGATCCTCTTCAATTGAAAGGTTATCGAATGAATGTTTGCCTATCATAAGAAGATTCTTTGTTGGCATAATCGAACTTGGTATGAATGGATGACTGAGTTGTCCAATACGAGAGAGCTTAAATGGTTCATTTTGACTAAAATATCTGCAGGAATAATGAAGAGTTATAGATTACAGGTGAATTGATTAGAAGTATCATCGGATAAGCGAAGTGGGCAGCTTCTTAAAATTTGTATATTCCCAAACCGACAACGGAGTTGACAAGAGTGACTACATTTTGCGCAGTGTGTAATAGTTTTTAAGTTAATGTTAATTCATTAAGACCACGATGTCGGATGAATTTATAATATAAATACAAATACAAATACATTATTCATTCCCCGATAAACTTCAGTATTTTTTTACGTATTCACCTGAAGCTTCTACTCGTCAGTTACTTTTAGAAGTGAAGCTTTATCATCCGGACAATTCGGAATCCCTCACACACAAAATATATTCATAGAACAGGATAATACCTTCCAACATGCCGCCACATCCCACAAGAATGAGACGCTGCTGCAGCTGCTGCTCTATCGCGTACAAGTAGGGTAGATGTACCAGCTATGACTGTACGTTCCTATTGTGGTGTGTTCCAATTATGGCCTATCGAAATCCCATATGCCATAATTGGAACACACCTTAATAGGAACGTATAGCCGTAACTGGTACATCAACCCTATCGTATGAAGGAGAATTTTTCCGAAATTCTACTGCTGCAGCATCTCGCTTTGTTGATAGTCTTTCTCCAAGCAGTTTTGAAAATAATTCCATGTCTGCGGCGAAGACAAATAAAACAGCAAGCAACTAAAAGATGCAACATTCTTCCGGTTCGAGTGCGCTATTTTCGGCTCATCCTTTTACGGACTCGAAGTTTTGCCAGCTGACTGGTGAGGCGACAGCAGCCATTCATCCAAAGGGAAGAAACTTTTTGCTGACGACTTGGAAAAATTATCTACTGGGATGATTTGTGAATTGCTTCTTTCCCGGCTTGCGACTTGAATGGATGAATAGGTGAGTTGGATTAAGCAGGTTGAGGAAATCCAAAGCAACAACGTAAGGCAGCTTGCTAGTTATTTGCAGCTATTCAAAAATTCCCAAGTTTAAGTTTTACTGTTGGCTGCAGAACAATGAGGATAAAATGATGCTCGCCGCAGAAAACGGACGAAAAAAAGAAACTAATTTCAAAGTTGTCTCTTGCAGTGCGCTAACTCGTGGAAGTTAATATTTTGAAGTTCTGCTGAGATTTGATTTACCTCATAGGAACATTCAAACTTTTCCGCAGTTCCAAAAACTACAGGAGTTGACATTGTCGGTTTTTCGTACATCCCATTTTCACTGTATTACCAAACTCATTGCGTAATGTACCATTGCCAAGTTCGGAATATTAATAGTACCCATAAGAAAGTTTCCCATCTTAAATCATAAACGTAAACTAAATGTTCACATAAATATGCCACCATCATCATCGAAATTGAAAGCCATTTCCCTTTCTCTTTCCATTACAGATCCATCGCTGACATCGACAAACTTTTCCCATCAACCGTAACACGCTGGCTGTCTCTCGCGGAGGACACCATTAAGAGCAAACTTAGTGTCGGAGGAATGCTCCGGAAGTTTTGACTCTGCACTGCCATCCATCCCGGGGCATGAGTTATGAGCATTTTTCCATCAGCAAGTCCCATCGCCTTCTCCCGAAACAGCCCAAGTCAGCCGGAGCTTGTCAAAACAAAGGGCGCTACGTCGTCAACGACCGCGACGTGAGCAGGATGCAACTTCCGGCAAGGTTCAGCTGAGAAGACACGCCACCGAGACAAACTACTCCGTTCGCCAATAACTACAAGCAGATTTGTTCAGCTGGTTCGAGCAGCAACTGCCAAACAATGAAAGTTTCTTATAAATTATCGCATTTCCTCAATCTGTATTTCATTTTCGCGACAGCGACAACACTTTCGGAGGCAGCCAAACAACCCTCGCCGCCGAACGCGACGAGGATTGACGGTGTTGAAGAACGTCCGTCACCCTTTGCAACCCCCAGTTCAGGAATGGTAGGTGGTGGTTGGAGAAGTTCGTCAACTCAGCCATCGCTGCCTCCGGTCCTGGCAGCATCATTGACGGTGCGAGATAAATCAGGACTGGAACGGGATCCCAAACTGGTTAATCATCATTTTTCCTCCTCAAGTTCGATACTGTCGAATGTGAAGGGGTCACCAGGGGTGGGAGGATCCGGAGAACCCTCAACGAGCAGAAGTCGATCGAAAGTGAATTTTAATATTTTGTACGAGAGCAGCGGGAAAGTCAGACAGCCGGGAGTTGATGAAGCTTCTGAAGTGGTAGAAGTGAGGGAAGGTGCTAGTAGTGGCGTCACTCGAAACAATGAACCGGAGATGAGTGTGTCGAAACCGGGTGGTGTTGAAGATGAAGATGAGTATGACTATGACGGTAGAGGTGATAATTATGAGGATGGCAAAATAATCAGTCCGGCGGCTTTGGATAATTTTTTCGATAAGAGTTTGGGTGGTGGAAGGTTCGGGCATACGGCAACAACCGAATCGGATTACGATGACGACGAGGACGAAGATAGTGACGAAGGGGATGACACTGATGAAGACTCCTATGGAGAGGGTGGTGATATTTTGCCGGTGGATGGGGCGTTTGACAGCTTCGGAAAGACAGAAGAAGAGGCAGGAGCTAAAAGTGATAGTACATTGCCTTATTTTCTGGTGGAGCCCCAGAGTACGCATGTGATACGGAACAAGCCGGCGATACTGAAGTGCAAGGCAGCGAATGCTTTACAGGTGAGTCTTTCGTCATCTCTCGGTATTAGAATTATAAAAGGGAACATTTCGATAGGGAGCGATCGAGATTAAAAAAAACACTGGACTCAACCAACCGTCAACTAGTTCGGAAAATTATGCAATTTTGATGTAACCGGATGCATTTGAGAGGAAATTAACACCATTTTTAATAAATCATTTGAAAATTGGTTGAGATGTTCCGGTATGCCAAAAACCGGTTTTTTCGCCGCTTGTACTTTTTTTCCGATTTAAAAAATTATTTGAATTTATATTCTTTTCTGATACTAGAAGCAATTCTGAATTCAACGCTTGCCACAGGTCCACGATCTTTTGAGAAACAGCCGAGATCTGGACATTTCCTTGAAATAGGTTCCGATAATTTTTGGAATCACATTAATATGGGTATCAATGTTCATGTCTTTTCAGCGCGATGTTGTTGTTTATTGATTTATTTGATAAGGCTCAAACGAATTAACTTTACAGAGCCGAGGATTCTTCGTCACTATACAATACATCTTAAAACTATAGTCAAAAGGTACAACACAATAAACACTTTATCTTCCGCTATCCAAAAAGCCTCCTCCATCAGAAATGGAGCCGCTTCCAGTGGTTTCATTGTATGGCAGTTACGCCAACGAGGGTCAGAGCGCTTCCATTGCAGCAATGGACGCAAAACGTGGTCAGCACTCACACACTTATCACTAAACGGTTGCTTTCCAAAGTCGACGACGCATCGACCGAAAGAACTGCTGATGAAGAACAATGAGAAGGACCACACAATGGTTGCTGCCGAGATAACAGACGATCGCGTGACACACATCGAGAGTGGCCTGCTTTTGTCGACAGCCGAGTGAACACTCATCTGCGCGATGTCTCCAAAATCGTTTTCAACGTTGCGATAGACACCCTGGAGCAGATTCTGGGTTAACCGAGGGAAGAAGCCTACTTCGAACATGACCGGAACCATGTCAATATGGATTTCAAACTCAAACAAGCCAATGCCAATAGCTTCTTCAGAAGTACATTGAAGTTCTGTAGTGATGGTTTCAGCTCAATTGATCATATGAAAACAACGGTACAACATGTCCAAGTTGACCATTTGTTATGAAATAAACAATTATCGGACAGAACTGTAGCTCTTATTTAGTAGGCAGTAATTGTCAACTTTAGAAAGTGTCTGGATTAATGGATTAAGTGTCCGGAATTTTCGGTCGATATGGGGCCTCAGATAGTCTAGTCAGTAAGTGCACGGTATTACCATAGAGGTAACTCTAAGACTAGAAGGTCCCGAAATAACGTGCTCAACTTTTTGGCTCAGCTCTGGTACATTCTTCGGTCCCAAGCTAATCGATTCACCCCTCGAAACATAGGAAAAACCAATAACCCCTCATTTTATCTGTCAAACTTTCATAGCGAATCAAAACAAACATTGCGTAGTACTAGAATTTCGACAAGAATAGGGTACGTTAATCGTGTTCGGTCCAGGACATCTTTCGGGTTGGAAATTTTCACGGATTCCCTGTGCATAGAATATCATAATGCTTGCCACACAATACACACATTTATGCTTTGGTGCAGAAATTTAGGAATAATTAAATATCTAAGAGTAGGTTCCAAAAACTTCAGATCAGTTCATATATGAAGTTCAGAAAATTTTCGTGTAGGTCAGAAAACTTAATGACAGTTCCTTTAGCTTCAAGCAAATTCCTGGAATTCAACAAGACTGTTGACAAACTTCAGAAAACTTCAGGTATGTTCAAAGATCTTTAGGAAGTTCAGAGAGCTTCGGAATAATTCTGAGAATTTCATGGCAGTTCTATAAACATTCATGACATTTTGGAAACTTGAGGGAAGTTCCATAAACTTCAGGAAAATTTTGAAAACTTGATTAACTTCATAACATGTTCTAAGAATCAATTCCATAGTATTTCAAAGAAGTTAAGATTCCCATGGACGTCCGAAAAATTGCGGGAACTTAAGTAGAGTTTCATGTACTATTAGAAAATTTCGAAAACTTTACCTTTGTTTCATCTGAGAAAAATTGTTGGTTGGTTGTCTTTGTTAACTGTCATTAACTTCATTATAAATGCAGGAACTTTACAGATATTCCAAGAAAAAAGTCCAGAAATCTTCAAAGAATTTAAGAATCACGTGGACGTCAGATTTGTGGGAACTTAAGTGAAGTTCCAAGAACCATTGGACAATTTAGAAAACATTCACTTAGTTCCATCTTAGGAAATTTTTGAGAACTTGATTAACTTCATAATAAATGCAGGAACTTTACAAGCATTCCAAGAACAAAGTCCAGCAAACTTTTAAGAAGTTAAGAGTTCCATGGACGTCAGGAAAATTGCGGGAGCTTAAGTGAAGTTCCAAGATCTATTGGAAAATTTCTGAAAAAAAATCAAAGGAAATTTTTATAAAATCAAGACCGTTCAGAACTTTCAGAACAACATGGATGTTTTAAGATTGTTAGGGTAAGTTCCGATAGCTTCAGGGCAGTTCCATAGATTTCTGGAAACTTCTGTTAAGGGGGCAGTCCACTCTGGCGGCATGAAAAATAAGTAATTCACACGATTTTTTTTTTTGGGTCAAAAAAAGGAATGCATGGTTTTGTCAATTGAAACGTCCTCATTAATTGAGATTTTTTTTTTGGCGCGATTGGATGTCTCCTGTAGCCGCTGCACCAGGTTCCCCAGGAGACCTCCCGTCTGAGTCGTCGCGGGGCGGGACGTCTGGCGGTCACACCACTGGAGCTGGAAAACGAATTTTTTTGAAAACATCGTTTAGAGATAATCAGCAGCTGGAACTACTAAGACACGCCGTTTCGCCGGTAACGGGCGGGTACTCCGAGCGCTCACCTGAGCGCGCTTGGAGCGTCTGGACACGAGTCCACTAATCGGCCTATAACTATGGAACGATGTCACTTGCGGTCAAGTCTATGTCAAAGTAGACATTTCAATGTATTTATTTAACAAAAAAAAAAAGATTTTTTGAAATTTCCAGAGTGGACTACCCCCTTAAGATCCAAGACCTCCTGAGCAGTTCTATTAAATTTGCAGGAACTTTAGGAGTTTTCGTTACAACAACTTCAGTTGAGTTTAAAGATCTCATGAGGAGCTACGTAACATCAGGCAATTCTGAGAATTCAGGGAAGATACGATAACTTCGGGAGAATGTTGAGCACATTAGAACAGTTTTATTAAATTAACGGGAAAATAACGGGAAGCTTGAAGAAGTTCGAAAAATTAATGACAGTATAGAGGACATCAGGAATTTGAAAGATCATGAAAAATGTCAGAAACTTCACAGAAAGAAAATAAAAAAAAATCATGGTACCGTAAAACGGGGGGAGTTCATCACTTTTTAACGATAAACCTGAATATTTTTTCCAACAATATGTTTGGCTCACAAACAAATACCACTAAAACCTGTACAAGCATTTACTTTAATAATGTACGAATTAGGTTTTGAAATTGCATGCATGGAATATTTTTTAGAATTAAAATTAGATTTAAAATGCAAATTATCAATTCTGGGATGAAGTTGATCATGAAGAATTTTTAAGAATGTAGGCGTCTTAGTGGAATACCTTGATAATGGAAAAGAGACGGATTGATAATTTACATTTAATTTAATTTAACTTATTTGCTTACCCACGATATTTTTTTTTTGGGTATCAAGCTGGAGCTGCGTGACAGCTTAAATTTCAAGACTTGACCCATTTTAATAAATTTTGCTTCTATCTTTGACAATACAGCAGAAGGACTAGCCTATGTTGGCGCTTGAACACTGGATTCCGTATGTATTGTTTCAAGATAGTTATAGAAAAAATGTTGTGACGTGTGCGCGTAGATACATCCGCGTAGTAAACCGATTGAATAAGTAAATCCGTTTCGAACGAAATATCTAAATTATGTAAGTTACGAAAACCGCGCGAATTCCGAAAGCCGTGCGAAACAACCGAAGCGAGAAAAAAGGCTTATTATCATTTAAAGAGTGTCACCAAAATAAATGTGATAGCCTATGTTGGTAAGTTGATTAATTTTGGTTTCCTCCCTAGATATTCGACTTATTTACTACTGAGCTTTGTATCCAATTAGTTAATTTAAAGAACGTATCAATCATTTCAAGATTTCGCGACCGCACCGAACAAATTCTATAAGCTCAAAAGCGTTTGACAAGCTCTACCGAATTGCGAATCACTTCTGCGTAAGCTCCGTAGACGTAGACGCGTTGATTCCGACAGCCGCGAAAAGTTAAACATGCATCAATACCACATAAGGAAAGATCGATTTTACGTATGGTTTAGTTCAAAGAAATAAGTTAACTCAGATGCTTTAACCGTATATATAAGAGATTTCGCGTATTGAGAGAATAATATAGTAATCGAGTACAATAAACTCAGGGGAATACAATACCTCCAAAAGTTTAAAAGCTATTAATTGTCACATTCCTTTCCTTTTCTTATTTCCTAAACTATTCCTTTCCTTGTAAATCTGCTTAATGCTATTGGTCTGCCTGCGTTTTCTTTTTTAAGTTCAAGACTAAATAAGAAGATTTATTCTACAACTTTAAAGGTTAATTGCCGGACGGGGGGTCCTAATTCTTTTTTTAATCTACTTAATGTCATTAAACTTTCTGAAGTTTCCTATTTAAGTTCATTTAATGATTATGATATCTCATTAGTCAAATTTAATAAATTATTAAAAGTTCTAATTCACCTAGTCAATCATAACCCATGCTTTATTAAATACCTGCACTTGTGCTTGTAATCTAAAATTAAACGTGTTTCAAGTACTTTTGATTGAAGCCTATACCTATTTATTATATCTTAGTTCGACCCAGGTAACACCTTCAAGTGACTAAATTGCTTCATTTTTAAGTTAGTTTCCTAGCTGATTTTTAAATTATATTGGGTATATGTTCCAATTACGCTCTCACGTTTCCACTATGTCGCACCACAAAAATACATATGGGTATGTCACAATAGAAGCACA